CAGTTCAGGGATTCCAGAGAGAGTGCTCTAAGGGGCAAGAAATGTCACGGTGTTATTTCCATTGTGTTCTATTGGTAAAACCAATCACAGAGTCTTCCCTGATTCAAGGGGATGGGACAGAGAATCAACCTTTCAGTGAAAGAAATAACCACCTTTAATAAATCACAGGCATACTATAGGTTCTTTGTGTTATAATGAAAGCAGTGTGTACTATGTATATGGTTTATGTGATGTGACATGAGGTACACTTGAGTTAGAGCTTTATGGATACGGAGATTTACCTATGGAGCCAACCAATACATGTTCTATCTGTATGCGTGCATGTTGCAGTAATTCTTTTCTCATATGTAGCTTGAAATACTGTATTTTTCAGTATTATCACAATACTCATGAAGTCAATATACTAAAAAGATGTCAAAATACTTTTCCTGTTAAAAACCAGATTATAAATATTTTAGGTTTTAGAGGCCACATACCCTCTCTGGTCCATATTCTTTTTTGTTTGTTTTCAGCAGCCCTTTAAAAGTGTGGAAAAACATTCATTGCTCAGGAGCCATAAAAAAAAAGCCGATGGTGGGCCAGATGTGGTATTCAGGCTGTAATCGTCTGACCCATGAACAAATGAAGGGCAATACCAGTGTTAGTGGCTCCAATTCTAAACTGAAAATGAAGAAAAAGAGAAATGAAGATCCTGCAAAATCTAGGATATTCAACCCCAAATCCTTAGAAAAGCACTGTAAGGAGTAGAAGAAAAATAACTTTTATTAAGAATTTAACTTTTCAAGACAGTGTTAGGTGCTCTGGTAAAATTATCTTATTTACTACCTACAACAACCTAAAAGATGGCTTATTATTTCACAAGTGCAGGTAGAATTAAAATATGAGCTTTTTAAAGGCAAGGATTTAGATTTTATTCATATCCAAAATTTAACACAGGGTCTTATACAAAATAGAATTTAAAATACATTCTGGATAAATTAAATTAAATAAGAACCAAGGCTCATGGAGATTAAGCAATACCATAGAGAGACAAAGTAGAAGTACTAGAGTTCAAAGCCAATTCCTTTGATTCCAAATACTTTACCCAAATCCTTCTCACCATACAGCCATGTTAGCAACATCTCACACCAACCGTAATTGCTCTTATGAAAATATCATTAAGCAATCTTTATTTATAAATTAGGTTATGTAAAGCTTAAACATTTATTTTTCAGAATTGAATTTGTGATTTTTGGGAATCTCTGTTCACCTTTTACTCATTATAACCACTCTCTATATTCTATGCTCTTAGTTATTATGAGCTCTATTTTTTCTTAGCTTCCACATATGAGGAATAACAGGTATCATTCTGCACCTGTCTTATTTCACTTAACATAATATCCCCTGGGCTCATCCATGTTGCTGCAAATGACAGTATTTCATTCTTTTTATTAATGCTGGAATAGCATTCTACTGTGTATATAAACTACATTTTCTTCATTCATTCATCTGTTGATGGACATTTAGATTGATTTCATATCTTGGCTGTTGTGAACAGAGCTGCAAAACACATGAGGGTGCCAGTATCTCTTTGATATACTGATGTAATTTCATTTGAATAAATAACTAGTAGTGGGATTACTGAAATCCAGTGGTACTTCTATATTTAGTTTTTTGAGAAACTTCTATACTTTTTTTCATAGTGGCTGTACTAATTTATATTCCCACCAAGAATGTATGAGAGTTCCCTTTACTCCACATGATTAACAGCATTTGGTATTTGTCTTTTTGAGAATAGCCATTCTAACTGGATTGAGGTAGTATCTCATTGTAGTTTTTATTTGCATTTCCCTGATGATTAGTGACATTGAGCATTTTTCCACATACTTCTTGGCCATTTTTTTATCTTTTTTTGAGAAATGTCTATTTGATCCTTTGCCCATTTTTATTCAGATTCGTGTTGTTGTTATTATGCTTTGAGTTGTGTACCTTGCATATTCTTGATTAGTCCTTTGTTGGATGAATAGTTTACAGATATTTTCTCCATTCCATAGTTTGTCTCTTCACTCTGTTGTCTTCTTTTCTGTGCAGAAGCTTTTTACTTTAAGATAGTCCTATTTGTCTGTTTTGGTTGCCTGTGCTTTGGAAGTCTTACTCATAATATTTTTGCCTATACCAATGTTTCTTCTATGTTTTCTTCTAGTAGTCTCATAGTTTTGGGAATTACATTTAAGTCTGCAATCCGTTTTGAGTTAATTTTTGAATATGGTAAAGGATAAGGATCTAGTTTCATTTTTCTGCACATGGATTTTCAGTTTCCCCAGCACCATTTATCAAAGAAGGTATCCTTTACACAATGTACATTCTTGGCACTTTTGTCAAAAATCAGTTGGCTATATATATGTGGATTTAATTCTGAGCTCTCTATTCTGTTCCATTGATCCATGTGCATACTGTTATACAAATACCATGTTATTTGGGTCATGATAGCTTTGCAGTATATTTTAAAGTCAAGTAATGTAATGTCTCCAGCTTTTTTTCTTTTTCTTCAGTATTGCTTTGGCTATTTGGGCTCTTTTGTGTTTCCATTTACATTTTAGGATTGTTCCTATTTCTGTCAAGATTGTTATTGGTTTTGTCATAGAATTTGCATTGAATCTGTAGATTGCTTTGGGTAGTATGGTCATTTTAACTATATTAACTTTTTTTCAATTCATGACCATGGGATGTCTTTCCTTTTTTGTGTGTTCTCTTCAATTACTTTCATCAGTATTTTGTAATTTTCATTATGGAGATCTTTCACTTCATTGGTTACATTTATTCCTAGATTTTTTTTTTTTTTATCTTTGTGGCTATTGTCAACAGAATTGCTTTCTGGATTTCTTTTTCAGCTAGCTCCTTACAGGTATATAGAAATGCTGCTGCTTTCTATATGTTTATTTTGTGTTCTGCAAATTCACTGAATTTACTTATCAGTTCTAAGAGCTTTTAGGTGGAGTATTTAGTTTTTTCTATGTACAAGGTCATGTCATCTGAAAAAGTGGAAAATTTTAGTTTCTCTTTTCCAGTTTAAATGCTCTTTGTGTTTTCCTCTTGCCTAATTGCTCTGGCTAGGACTTCTAGTATTATGTTGTATAATAATGTTGAAAGTGGGCATACAGGTTTTACAGAAAAGGCTTTCAGCTTTTCCCCATTCAGTATACTGTTAGCTGTTGGTTTGTCATGTATTGTCTTTATTGTGTTGAGGTATGTTTCTTGTATACCTAATTTGTTGAGAGTTTTTAACATGAAAACATGTTGAATTTTATCAAATGTTTTTTCTGCATCTGTTAATTATATGGGTTTTGTCCTTCATTCTATTGGTGTGATGTGTCACATTTATTGATTTGCATATAGTAAACAATCCTTACATTCCTGGGATAAGGAAATCAAGGCTTATTATCTTGTAGATATGTTGTTAAATTCAGTTTACAAGTATTTTGATGAAGATTTCTGCATCTATGTTGGATTTGGTTCTGTGTGGGTGCCATAGTACAGTGTTTGTATGGTTTATTTGGCTATAATCAATAACAATATCTGCAAATTCCTTAGCGGCTTAGGCTGTAGTTGATTTTGGAGGCTGTTGTGAAGTTTTCCTGGGGACTGGGAAGAATAGTCCTCAAGGCCGTGAGTATCATGTGCAGGTGCCAGCAGTGATGACAGTGGGCTGGGTGGGCGTGTCCTCTTCATGCCTCTGAGTGGCATAGGTGGGGTTCCTGTCAGTGACTGTGGCCCTGGGTGTGTGGTTCTCTGACTCTGAGGAGTGCAAATTTTGACTCTTTATGTCCTGCGGGGAGACTTCCTGATACATCGAACCACCTGTTCCCCGGGGTGTAGGGGACTACATGGGCTTGGGTGATGGTGTCCTGGCCACACTGCTGGGTCCAGCTGTTTTCATGATGTTGCAACCATCTGAGTGAATGTGGAGGAATGTCAGAGAGGCAACAGGAACATGGAATGTAGGGATCACTGGGCCCCGAGGCAAGAGTAGTCTGGTGTTAGCTCTACTCTCAAAACAGTGCCATGCTGCAGCAGCTCGGGTCCCGGGATATGGGTGGCACCCAGCATGAATTCCATCTCTGGGACAATGTAGTCACATGGATACCAGGCAGCTCCCTGTATTAGGCTCAGGGACTGTGAGGGCCAGGGTACTGTCCTGTGGCTAGGATTGCAGGTGTCTGCAGGGGGAATGCAGACTGTTGGGGATCTCTCACTTACCTTTTCCCTGTAATTAGGAGTTTCTCCTGGCTTCAAGCTGATCCCAGCTGGCTGTTTTACTTCCATTTTTATGCTGTCATCTTGAGTTTTTCTGCTTCAGAGGGTCTCCGTCATTTCCCTGTTTAATTCCAGTGTTCCCCCTTAGAAGCTCTAGTTTGATGTTATCTATTCACTGTTATCTACTCACTGTTTTTGTCCTTCCTTGTGGAGAGGCACATGAAGGGTGCCTCTGGTCAGCCATTTCGATGGCCTATGCCTAAAGAGGAAAATTCGCATCCAGTACTGCTACATATTTGTACCTACAAACACAGGGATTCAGATCAATTTTCTATTTGCACCATTTGCACAATTGGAGTTTAAAACACACACTCTCAACAGAATAGTATGTTTTTAAGTGTATCTGCTGCCTCATTGAGTAACACCTGACAAGTGAGAATTTCTGTTTCAACTAGATATTGTCAAGTAGAAAAACCTTTCCTCTACCTGTTTAGGTTATATTATTTGGCGGAGGGGGTGGACATGCAAATTAAACTGACAAAAGATAGATTAGCAAAAAAGAAAAACATTTAGTTAGGTACATATGCACAGGAGTTGACAACTGTGACTCAAGGAGGTGTTTAGCATTTGGGGCTTATATACCATGTTGATAGGGGTTGGAGAAGGGCAGAGGGCACTTCTGGGACAGTGACTGACTTTCAGTCGACACTTAGGAGAATGAATGGGGATATGACAGTTTTATGACAGTGTCTGTTTCTCTTACCCAGCTGCTGCCTTGCGCTGGCTTCTCAACTTCAGTGGTAAGAGTTGTTCTTCCTTGGTTGCCAAACTCACTGGGAAGGAATTTATAACCGTGGAATTATTTGGGCAAGCTTTGCTTTTGGAAAATAAGACAAGTTCAGAAAAAGCCTCTTGTTCCTGCATCTGTTTATTCTCAAATGTCTTCAAGCCAAAATAGTCCTATATGCCACTGTGGCATATTTTGGACCCCTTCAACATCAATGAGAAAGCACATTCTTCAGTTGGGATTTTATGTATGTCTCATAATTGAGAGAACTTTCTACGGACTGATTTCTGGCTCCCCGCATTTAAACTTTTATTCCACTCTGCCACACACATACCTCTGGGAACTCCTCACAACAGAACCTTTGACGCTGTACTTTTATGCCACCACTTTGGGGGAGCTGTCAGTGGATGTTGGGACAATTCTTGGAAGCCACTCTACATGACGATGGCTAGCAATAACTTAACTGTGAAAGAAAAGCAGTGTGAACCCACAGAAATACATCTTAACACATCCAATTTAAATGTATCCTCATCTCTTGTTTCCCTTAGCTAGATCCTCAAAATGCCTATGGTCTCTCTAACACCATTTAAAGAAGAAATGTAACAAAGGAGAAATTGGAATGGAATAAAGATGTGTTCTTAATCTATTGGGGTTAAAATCCGTACTCTTGCAAATATAGAAGGCATATTACCACGCCGAAGCCTCTCTTTGCACCGCCACCTCAAGGACTTGGATGGGGCAGTTGCAAATGAGAGACCCTGAAAGCTTAAGCTTCGTGAGCATCACTGTAAGTCTGCGCTGGAGGGTAGCTCAGGAACTGGGGAACAATGGCCAGCGTGCCTACAAACAGTAACTTTTGGTAGCTGAAGGCAATATTGGTTTATAGACCTTTCGAAAATACTGTTTTATAGTGGAAAATAAAACAGAGAAAGGGGCACTGCCTCAGATTCAATAATACTTTTTTAAGTTCACCATGTTTTGCTCTCATGCTGTCTCCTGTATTTTAAATATATTGGTTTTATAAGGAAGATAGGAGCAGTGCTTCCTATTGGTTAGATGAAGAAGGAAGCTTTATATCAGACATCACTGAAAAGGCAGGTGTAGAGATTATTTCTTACCTCCAAACAAGCAGACATGATCAAGCTGTAGCAAACATTTAGAAAGAAAGACAAAGAAATACTCAGCAAGAGAAGGTTCCAGTACATTCAGTACTGAATTTAGGTATATATTGTTGACAATATATACTGTCACTAACCACTGCTATGTGTTCAACAATATATCAAAACACAATATTTTATATATAGGTTAGCCAAATCCAAAGCTAATATTTACATCCTAAGAGTGGTTTTTTATCCAGTCAATTGCAGACAGTGTCGAGAATCAGTTACACAGCCAAAACAGAAAATAAAAAGAAACTTAAGGGGGGGGGAGAAAAAAGAACAGCAGTAAGTACAAAGAATCATTTTTATATTTCCATCCCACTATGAGTCAACAATGCTTTATCAAAAGCTCTGTTCAAAGTCTTAAACTTTACACCAGTTTCTAGGAAAAATTTTACTAGACTAAAATATGTCTGCTAATGTTAAAGATCACCTGGTACAAATGTGTGTAGCTTTATGAAGAATTTCTTTTGCCAATGGAATTATATTTTCATCTGTGACTGAATAGCACATCTGTTGATTTATAGAGATGTTGTTGAAACCCATATTGTCTACTTTGATGAGCTCTTTAATTCAGTCTTACTTGGATAATTGATTAAATGAGTGCTGAAACAGGCATTTAAATTGTATTACTACTATCCAAAGTCAATGGGAGTCTGAAGTTTATTGAGATCTCCAGATATTGGACCTAAGTCAGATTAATAACCACTTTGACTGATAGAGAGTTGAACACTGATTTTATCTCAGCCACCCATGTTCCTCTATGGAAGTGAGACACCCCCCCCCCAACTCAAGGCTGCCCAGAACTAGTCAGTGGCCTCATCTGACCACAAGGGAGCCAAGAAGTACAATCCTACTTTAGACCTAGAAACCAAAAGTAATTATTTGGGAAAACGTCTCAATGATTACCATATAAGGATCAGCATCTGTCATTGGAAATTTCATTGCGACTGAATTAGTCAGTAAAATTTATTATATTTCTTACTCTAGAAATGTTCTCCATTATGTGTTTCCTAATTACTATCAATCCACTTTACTTGAATGAAGTGTTGTACCACCTGGAATTGATAATTAACATAGGAAGTGACCTAGTTAGCATAGGTCAACATAGTCAGAGGCCAAAACTTTGAAAGCTAATTCATAATTCTCAACCATTTTGGTATAAACAAGGTTATTTATTTTAGTATTATATTTGTACAAGCCATTATAATCAGATTCCCCCCCCCAAATTCTTAACATATTGTCTAGCTTACAGGTCATTATTCACAGCGACATTTGACATATTCTGCCACAACAGTAAAAATATGTATGCTAAATGCCTCAAGTTCATGCTGCAAAGGATATTGGTGTGTCCAATTTTACCATTAATAGTGAAAAGAAATAGCTTCAAGTGGTCCTAAATAATAGGGTATACTGCTTTTGACCTAGCAAGGGTCTTTTTCCCAAAAAATCACCCAGATTGTACAAAACACTGTGCTCCCCCAAGTTTAGATTTTTAAGGATGTATAAAAATTAAAGTTGAAAAAAGTTCACATACTAGTTATTTTGTAAATAAAAGACAATGCCAGGTGTAATAACTGACTGGATCTTTTTATGTGCGCCCTTAATTGTAAATCTGTGCTATATTGCATATGTTTTGGCATTTAAAACCTTAGAGATGGAAAAAAATCAACTATCAATCTGTGCTAAGCATAAAGTGAAAATCACTTCTATCAAGTGTTATCTTAAAACCTAAATACTCTACTAAAATCTGAAAATCAGACAGCCCATAAGTTAATATTTAGATAAACACTTATAATTTATTTTCAAAGGTTTCCTTTTCTTGTAAACTGGGTTTTTATACTGGCCTTGTAGCAATGTTTTATAGTTATGCAATAGCTAGTACAAATCAATTTAGCTTAGTTTCTGTGTTCTTTTATTGATACATTGTAATATATGGCTTTGCATAATATGAATTCATGATTTAAACAGCACAACTGATTCTACTTCTTGGGTAGAGACCAATTAAATAACCACTGATGCAAGCAGTTATTACCTGCTTAAAAGGAAATCTGTGGTTTCCTTATTTAAACTGCTGAGTTTTTATGTCCATCAAAAAGGCTGTTATGGCAATGAATAATTTAGCCATTTCAGTCTACTACACGTTTTAATACAAGCATGGATTTAAGGCTGAAAACTATGCCTAAAAGTTTCACACAGTCCCAGGAATCAGAATCATACTTTCAATAGCTATGCATGTTTATATTTAATATTTCAAATAATATGGTTAAAGGACAATAGTCTCTAATAATTATCTAGAGAAGGAAGACTGATGTATCAATTTTGGCCAAAGTAGTTAGAGAAATGGTTGATCGTGAAAGCCTAGAACACATGTCTTTACACATATGAGGAGACCCTTTTTAAAAACATGAAAGGTCAATGGATTTGGAGATGTCAGAGTGTCATTTCCTCTGTTTGTCCCTTGGTGGAGTTCTTGAGTCACTTTCTCCCTTTCTGTCAAACCGCTTTATATTTCTTTCCAGAACTGGCTATCATGTTTACTGTATTTAACCTTTTTCTCATATTATTGTGAATACGGCGTTTATTATGAATAAAGCCCCCCCCCCCGAGATCACATCTCTAGCACCTACTTTGTATTCTTAACTATAAACTTTTGTTGTGGTTACCTTCTCTGTCTTTTCCTGAGGCTTAAAACTACATCACGGATCCTGAATGCTATTTTTCAGCTCAGTCACTGAAATTTCTTAACTGCAAAGCAATTTTAGACAAGCGAGGTTAGTAGGTAAATTAACAAGAAAAAAGAAAAACTACAGAATATTGTAACTTTAGGGTAGGATATGTGGCATAGAAAAAGAATCCTTGGTCAAGGATTAAACACGTATGTTAGAACAGGATGGTATTTATATTTTAATCAATTTTAATCAATTCCATGTTGCATATCTCGATTTCAAAGGGATAGTTATTTTTATTGTCCTTTAAAAAAAGTCAATAAAGGAAAAACAGAAATCCCCAACATTTCAACATTCCTTCAAACATTTTGCTTCCTACATACGATGACGTCCTGTCACTCTGATCAATGCAAGCTTTAGGACACTGATCTCATTTTCTCTCTTCAGTTCTGGCTGCTACAGCAGCGGCAGCAGCAGCAGCAGCAGGCTCTTTAATTTATTGCAGCCGGTTACACTTTCGATCCCATTTCCTTCTGAACCCTTTCCTCTCAGGTTGAGAAGATAAATGCAGCCTTGGGTCTGAGGAGCCGGGCGGGGTTGTCGGTGGGAGCGAAGCCGGATATCATATTCCCTCGGTGAGGTCTGGTACCCGGGGGGGATTAAGTCCCCCGGTTCCATTTAATGAAATTGCTGAGCACTTGTGACACAGGCTCCAAGACTGCGGAAATGGGGCGGGGGTGGGGGAAACTGCTTCTCTCCCCCATTCTTCCTCCCCGCCGGCGGGGTGGGGGTGGAGGTGGGGGTGCTGGAGAGTGTCAGCCCCTACGCAGGGGGCGGAAGAGGATCGGGAGTTCCAGCGCAGCAAGGGCACCCCGAGGCCACCCCTCACCTCCCCCTTACTCCCACCCCGCCTATTCTGATCTCCTCCCCAGAACGCGCCACCGCGCAAAGCCGCCACCACTTCTTGGCTGCTGCCGCGGAAAGGTCGGAGCCTGGGACGGCTGGGAAGGGAGCGCAGCCAGGAGGCGTTAGGGCCCCGCAGCCTGGCCACACTGTTTTCCATGCAGAACACGTTGGACCCATTTCCCACGCTGGCTTGGCTCGGCTGCGGAGTTGGTGGGGACGAGAGTGAGGAGGGCGGGCTGGAGACTTCCCCCGCTCCCAAACAGGGAACCACTCCACTGTGAAGGACGCACTGCACCCCCAGTCATCTGGGAAGAAATGTGCAGCGCTCGGGAGGAAAGCTGCCCACTTCCTCGCCCCCAGAAAGTGCGCGCCGAGCGAGCGCGCGCCCGAGTGGCGGGCAAACGCGTGAAGACGCGGAGGGGTTTATGCAAGTTTACGGTCTGGAGAGGAAAGAGTGAGTGCACAACGTCTCTGCCCACGCGGCTGCCTGAAGTTTGCAAAATCTTAGTAAGGCGGCGAGGGCAGGGAGTGCACTGCACCGTACTGCCGCGCGTCGGAATGCTCGGCGCAGGAGCGGGGGCAGACCGCGTCCCTCCCTCGCTCCGGGCTCGGGCACAAGGAAGGCCAGGGCCAGGGGGAGGCAGGCGTTCTGGTAAACCTGAGTTCTTGCCGAATGTCAGGGGGACCTGGCGTGTACTGTCACTTAGCCAGCCGGGAAGGCGCTGCGGCGCCCGCCCCCGCCCCCGGCTCGAGACTGCGGCGGTGCCCACTGAGCCTGCGCGCCGGGCTTTCTCGCTGATGCTGCAGATCCGGAGCTCGGAGGCTCGGGGGGCCAGCGCGGGAAGGCCGCGCTCCCGGCTCTGGCTCGGAGGAGGAGCCGCCACCTACGGCGTGATGCCGGTTAGCAGACTGGAAAATACCCACCAGCTCCCTGGCATTTGCTACACGCGCTTCCGTCCTCCGCGCTCCTACGACCCCGCGTACTGAGAGCTGGGAAACCTCTGCCGCCCCCCCCGCCCCCATCCCTGCTCCGGCGCCCGCGCGCGGCTGCTCCCCGACTTTATTGGTGTGTGTCTTGTTTGTGTCTTCCTGCCGCCTCGCCCGGCTCCCGGCGTGGGTAACGGAGAGTACCCCCGCCGGACGGATTTCCTTCTTTTCCTTTTCGCTTTAAATTCTCCTGTAGGGAGAGGCCCTTAAATACCTATAGATTGCTCAGACGAGCTGAGGAGCAAGCAGTTCCCAGCAGCAGCTTTTTCTCTTTTGAGATGGTGAAAACTCTCCCCTAAATATCTCCCGTCCGCCTCGACCCCTCTCGGTCATGCTGAGCCCCTTCGTTTAGCAGAAATAAATGAGGAGTACGTGGCTGTAGTTCAGAGAACACAACCAGACCGCATATCTGATAGGGTGGGATTGTGGCGGCCCCGATTGAGAACTGGGCAAGCCTCGCGAGGGGGGATATCAGGGAAGATCAAGTGGCACAAAGTGGAAAGACGCTAGGGACACTTGGGTACACAAAGTTGCCATTAAAGTTTATTTCCCTTTTATCCAGATAGGTGACGCTACACTTTGCCAGTTACTAAAGGCTGTAGGTTTCTATTCGGAAAATAATATCGAGGTTTCCAACTTGTGTTTTTTCCCCGGGCGCGCACACACACGGTCTACCCCCCGCGAGCCCGGAGACAGGAATGTCAAGCATTTAAACAAAGACAGGCACCCCTCCCCCACCCATCCCTCCAAAGTCTGCACTCCCAAAAAAGGATCCCTCTACCATTCGCTCTGGAGTTTGATGTTCTCTCTCCCTTACTGCAGCCCGTCACGGTTTTTCAGAACACCAGCGTGGCTTCCTGGGCGCACACGGGTTTCCCAAGCCACCGGTAACCACCTGCCCTAACCCAAATGCTAAGTCTCCAACCGGAGGTACTTTCAGGGGGAGAACATCAGCTGAGAGTGGGGGGCAGAAAGGAGAGACGTATCCTCAAATCCGTTCCAGAGCTCTCACACACGCTGGGCATTATTCAGGGGAGAACATTTGCCAGCCCCAGGGAAGGAAAGCAAGTCGCCCCGAGAAGACCGCGGCTGCACTTGCGGGGGGACTAGGTTTTGGCCTAAAGGGGGCTGGCTGGGATCGGCACACTCGGGGCTCCCCCGGCGCTGGAGCTGGGCTTTCTGGAGCGCGGCGGCGGCTGACGCTCCCTCCCGCCGCCGTTCCCGGCCCTCCTCCCCGGCTCTCCGCGACTGTGTAGTTTCCGCGGCTCGGCTGCCGCCGCCGCCGCGCCAGGGACAAGCCTGAGCCGGGAGCGAGCGTTCTCCCCGAAGCAGCCTCCACTTTGGGCAACTTGCGGGTTTCCGGCTCGCGGATGGCTAACGGGAGCGACCCGCCTGCGGTTCAGGGTTTCCGAGCCGCGGCAGCCCGAGGGGCGGCGGGAGCGTCCGCACCAGACTCTCCCAGACACGAAAGGGGACGAGACAACTGCGGAATTCACCCGCCTTGCTAGGGCACTTCCGAGGCCACAACCGACTGGCACTTTTTTCCCCCTTGGCAAACTGGATTTTTTTTTAAGCTACTTGGCAGCTGTCTCTGACTCCACCTCCCCCTCCACCCCCGCCCCAAAGCCTGTGGCTTTTCTTCGGAAATCCGGACAAAATTGGGCATCTTTGTTAATTGCCGTTGGGGGAGCCCGGCCGTGCGCTTTCCCCGGGCCAACGTCGCCGGTGCATCGAGCCTGCTTTGCTCACCTTTGAACTGCAAAAGGATCAAGTTCAGCTCGAGTTCCCCGCATTGGGGCTGGGAGGAAGGAGAGAGAGAGAGCGTGCAGGAGAGCGAGTGGGAGAGGGGGAAAGGGGAAAGGAAAGGAGGGAGGAGAGAGAGGAGGGAGGAGAGAGGGAGGGAGGGGAGGGATCGAGAGAGAGCGGGGAGAGAGAGGCTGCAATCTCCTCCCTGAATCGCGCACAGCGCTGCAGATCCCACTGCTCCGACATGCGGGCCGAATGCAGGTGAGAAAAGGCACGGACTCTGCGGCTGCGAACGCAAACTTGGGCACCGCGCGGCGCGCACGGCTCAGCCCTCGCCCCGCGGGCGAACGGCGGCTGCGGTTTCAGGCGGAGGCTTCCTGACTAATGACCTTGCGCAGAGTTGTTAAGCAAAAAGAGAAACCCGGGCTCTCCGGGTGAGAAGGGACTGACTCTGGGCGTCTCTGAGGATGGCTTGGGCTGCTCTTTGGCGCGCCGGGGGGACCCGGACGCGGGCGGCTCCGTGACGCGAGGAGTCTCCACTGCACCGTGCCCGGAGCGACCCGCCGGGGATTTTTCATTCTCGGTCTGTTGACTGGCTTCTGCGCTGCCTGAGCGGAGTCGGAGTTGAGACTGGCTTGTTGCTGGCCCCAGCGCCTCGGGCAGGAGGCGACTCAACGTTTGCTGGGCAGAGGTGGCGGGAGCAGAGGCTGCGTCTGGAGTGAGCGGCTGGAACGTGAATCGGACTCAACTCGAGTAGCGGCGGAGACGAGCGCGGCGGACACCGGGGCAGGCTGCAGGCTCGGTGCTCCCCGCTCCTTCCCGGCCCCGCCGCCCGACTGCCAGAGCGGGGCCGGCCCCCTCGGACGGAGTGGGGACCGGATCCGGGGATCCTCCGCCCGCTGCGGGATGACTCTGGATGGGGGCGGGGGCTGGCGAGCCCGCGGCGCGCAGTGTCCCGTGAACTGTGAGTACTGCGACTGAACGGCGGCCGGCCAGCGGCGATTAGCACCCATTGCATGAATTATGAAACAATAACTTTCGGAAGAAGCAGGAGGAAAAAAAAGAAGCATCTATCGCTGGTCCCCCCCACCACCTCCGGCCGAGTCTACGCGCTGCTCTTGCCCCCTCCCTCCCCTGCCTTTCCCGGAGGGGGCTCGGCCCGGGGGGAGGGCAGGCGGCTGGCCCCGGAGGAGGGGGCGCGCCGAGGGGCCGCGGTTAGAAGGAGCAGTAGCAGCAGCAGCAGGAGAAGATGCTGAGGATGCGGACCGCGGGGTGGGCGCGCGGCTGGTGCTTGGGCTGCTGCCTCCTCCTGCCGCTGTCGCTCAGCCTGGCGGCCGCCAAGCAACTCCTGCGGTACCGGCTGGCCGAGGAGGGCCCCGCCGACGTCCGCATCGGCAACGTCGCGTCGGACCTGGGCATCGTGACGGGCTCGGGCGAGGTGACTTTCAGCCTGGAGTCGGGCTCCGAGTACCTGAAGATCGACAACCTCACGGGCGAGCTGAGCACGAGCGAGCGGCGCATCGACCGCGAGAAGCTGCCCCAGTGTCAGATGATCTTCGACGAGAACGAGTGCTTCCTGGACTTCGAGGTGTCGGTGATCGGGCCCTCGCAGAGCTGGGTGGACCTGTTTGAGGGCCGGGTCATCGTGCTGGACATCAACGACAACACGCCCACCTTCCCGTCGCCCGTGCTCACGCTCACGGTGGAGGAGAACCGGCCGGTGGGCACGCTCTACCTGCTGCCCACCGCCACCGACCGCGACTTCGGCCGCAACGGCATCGAGCGCTACGAGCTGCTCCAGGAGCCCGGGGGCGGCGGCGAGGGCCGGCGCGCGGGCCCGGCCGACAGCGCCCCCTACCCCGGGGGCGGCGGGAACGGCGCGGGCGGCGGCGCGGCAGGCTCCAAGCGGCGGCCGGACGCGCCGGAGGGCGGCGGCGGCCCCGGCGGGCGCAGCAGCGTGTTCGAGCTGCAGGTGGCCGACACCCCGGACGGCGAGAAGCAGCCGCAGCTGATCGTGAAGGGGGCGTTGGACCGCGAGCAGCGCGACTCGTACGAGCTGACCCTGCGGGTGCGCGACGGCGGCGACCCGCCTCGCTCCTCGCAGGCCATCCTGCGGGTGCTCATCACCGACGTGAACGACAACAGCCCCCGCTTTGAGAAGAGCGTGTACGAGGCCGACCTGGCAGAGAACAGCGCCCCGGGGACGCCCATCCTGCAGCTGCGCGCCGCCGACCTGGACGTGGGGGTCAACGGGCAGATCGAGTACGTGTTCGGGGCGGCCACCGAGTCGGTGCGGCGGCTGCTGCGCCTGGACGAGACGTCCGGCTGGCTCAGCGTCCTGCACCGCATCGACCGCGAGGAGGTGAACCAGCTGCGCTTCACGGTCATGGCCCGCGACCGCGGCCAGCCCCCCAAGACCGACAAGGCCACCGTGGTCCTCAACATCAGGGATGAGAACGACAACGTGCCGTCCATCGAAATCCGCAAGATCGGGCGCATCCCGCTCAAGGACGGGGTGGCCAACGTGGCCGAGGACGTGCTGGTGGACACCCCCATCGCTCTGGTGCAGGTGTCCGACCGCGACCAGGGCGAGAACGGGGTGGTCACCTGCACCGTGGTGGGCGACGTGCCCTTCCAGCTCAAGCCGGCCAGCGACACAGAGGGCGACCAGAACAAGAAGAAGTACTTCCTGCACACCTCAGCCCCCCTGGACTATGAGACCACGCGGGAGTTCAACGTGGTCATAGTGGCGGTGGACTCGGGCAGCCCCAGCCTCTCCAGTAACAACTCCCTGGTCGTCAAGGTGGGGGACACCAATGACAACCCGCCGGTGTTCGGCCAGTCGGTGGTGGAGGTTTACTTCCCGGAGAACAACATCCCCGGCGAGAGGGTGGCCACGGTGCTGGCGACAGACGCCGACAGCGGGAAGAACGCGGAGATTGCCTACTCCCTGGACTCATCTGTGATGGGGATCTTCGCCATCGATCCGGATTCCGGGGACATCCTCGTCAATACGGTGTTGGACCGTGAGCAGACTGACAGGTATGAGTTTAAAGTTAACGCCAAAGACAAAGGCATCCCTGTGCTGCAGGGCAGCACCACGGTGATTGTGCAGGTGGCTGATAAGAATGACAATGACCCTAAGTTTATGCAGGACGTCTTTACCTTTTATGTGAAAGAAAACTTGCAGCCCAACAGCCCTGTTGGGATGGTCACCGTGATGGATGCTGACAAAGGGCGGAATGCAGAGATGAGCCTGTACATAGAGGAGAACAGTAATATTTTTTCTATTGAAAATGACACGGGGACCATTTACTCCACAATGTCTTTTGACCGGGAACATCAGACCACGTACACTTTCAGAGTCAAGGCTGTGGACGGGGGAGATCCTCCCAGATCCGCCACAGCCACCGTCTCTCTCTTTGTGATGGATGAAAATGACAACGCTCCCACAGTTACCCTTCCCAAAAACATTTCCTATACTTTACTGCCACCTTCAAGTAATGTCAGGACAGTTGTAGCTACAGTGTTGGCAACAGACAGTGATGATGGCATTAATGCAGACCTGAACTACAGCATTGTGGGAGGGAATCCCTTCAAACTGTTTGAGATTGATTCCACCAGTGGTGTGGTTTCCTTAGTGGGAAAACTCACCCAAAAGCATTATGGCTTGCATAGGTTGGTGGTGCAAGTGAATGACAGTGGGCAGCCTTCCCAGTCCACCACGACTCTGGTGCATGTGTTTGTCAATGAAAGTGTTTCTAATGCAACTGTGATTGACTCCCAGATAGCCAGAAGTTTGCACACCCCACTCACCCAGGATATAGCTGGTGACCCAAGCTATGAAATTAGCAAACAGAGACTCAGTATTGTCATTGGGGTAGTTGCTGGCATTATGACAGTAATTCTAATCATCTTAATTGTAGTGATGGCAAGGTACTGCAGATCTAAAAATAAAAATGGCTATGAAGCTGGCAAAAAAGATCACGAAGACTTTTTTACACCCCAACAGCATGACAAATCTAAAAAGCCTAAAAAGGACAAGAAAAACAAAAAATCTAAGCAGCCTCTCTACAGCAGCATTGTCACTGTAGAAGCTTCTAAACCAAATGGACAGAGGTATGATAGTGTCAATGAGAAGCTGTCAGACAGCCCAAGCATGGGGCGATACCGATCAGTTAATGGGGGGCCTGGCAGTCCTGACCTGGCTAGGCATTACAAATCTAGTTCCCCTTTGCCTACTGTCCAGCTTCATCCCCAATCACCAACTGCAGGAAAAAAACACCAGGCCGTACAAGATCTACCACCAGCCAACACATTTGTGGGAGCAGGAGACAACATTTCAATTGGCTCAGATCACTGCTCTGAGTACAGCTGTCAAACCAATAACAAGTACAGCAAACAGGTAAGATGTCTCACAAATATATTTAAATGTCCCAGAGAAGGCTAATACGTCTGAGACAGATCATCTTCTGTAAAGTTTTGTCTTTTCCTTTTTAAAGTTATTGCTTGAAATTTTAATAGCAGGAAATTAATGTTAATTCGTGCACCATTAATTTAACAGAGGCCATCTACAAGAGGTGTAGCACTGTATTTTGTAAGTCAGATCTAATGTTCACTAAGCTACTAAAAGAAGTATTCAAAGTGGGCAGGGTTTTGCACTTCTCTTTGCACTTGACAGCCCTAATTCATCTTATATTTTCTGTTTCCAGAATAAATATGTATACGCTATTTGAATGGTTACTTTTAACCTGAAATTATTTTCTTTTGTGGCAACTAAGTGTATAATTGCATCCAAAGAGGAAATTTCTAAAGTTACTACTGGTGTCTATTTAAATTAGAAACCATTAAAGTTTTAGCTATGTTATACATAATGCAGGGTTTTACAGATAAGTGGATGCTGATTCATGCAAATGTAGTACCAAGTCTGAGATACTGAAATACTGACTACTTAACAAAAATGCTGGTTTAAAAATATTTACAGATATGCAAATATCATGCAAAACTCCATTTTTAATACTTTATAACAATAGATGAACCCTTAGGCTGCTATGATGACATGCAATCAGCATTTACATTCTTCTTATTTGGTATTAAAACTTTACAAACAAAAATAAATTGCATGATTCATGTATCATTTAAGCCAAGCAACACAAATGTTCATGATTGATGTACTGTGCAATACTATTTGTTATACGTCGTGTTAGACTATAAAGATTAAGAGAAATATTTGACATAGTTGTTTCTTGGTGAAATGTGGAAACAGTAAGTATATATATATATATATATATATATATATATATATATATATATATATATTCTGAGGGGAACTTTGGAAATTACAAAATTTATTTTTGAAAGTTTTGCTTGAGTGAAAATAATCCTCAGAAAGTTAATTTTTTATACCCCCCAAAGTTTGATGCACAGCAAATAAAACCTTTTGAGAAGGGCCATGTCTAATAGTGTAACAAACTCTGCTAATAAAACATCACATATTTCTTATTGTCAAAACTCATCTCAAGAAGCATGTTTATGACTGTGAAATAATGTTTCTATTCACTATACTTTGCATGCGAAATATGGGATCTTAGAAGAATTGAGGTAAAAGAAAAACTTATACTGTCATTAAGGATGTTATAAAAAAGAGATGCTAATTCCTTATTGCTTTCATAATTATTAAAATTAGTTTCCTAAAGAAATATTTTCTATAGATAATATTTTAGTGTAGCTATTTGATATTTGCATAAGGAGAAACAGACTTAATATGCTTTTATATCCAATAACAAAAGCAATACAGGAAAACACAGGTTTGAACTAATTACATTAAATGTCTTTTCAAAATGTCTTTTGATGCATGTGAGCTTGAATTCCTTATTTATTTTAAGCCAACGTTTAACATAGTGGAGAGTTTCATATCTGTTATGTTATTGCTTTACCTGGAGTTAGAAGCAGATTTCTGTTTTGTTTCTGGTGCTTTTATCAGTTTTGTAAATAAGGAAGATTTCAGTTAAAATAATAGCATTTTAAAAACATTACTTATAAACACCCACAAATAAATTGACATCTGTAGAAATTTTCCTAGAAAATGGTAACATGTAATGCAAAAGAGTGTGATATTTTTGCAGAATATTTACTTCCCAGTTCTTATCCTGATAGTACTTTTGTCCTGTGGCTGAATGGTACTTGCATTTTCAATTGTGTAATCTTATGCTTTTGAGTGGACATATCAAGTGGCAGATTTATAGATATTTTATGCAAACACTTCATATGTTCTCTGCTGTCACTTAAGCTTCATTTGGCTCAGGGGTTAACTCTATATTCCTGAATATTTAAAACAGCTAATATCAAGACTGTTGGCATCCTGTTTAAAAGGCAAAGTGATATGCTTATAAATAAACTAATGTATGGTGTTAGTCTCTTAACTGAGCAAAGAAGTCCACATACCAAAAGAGAAAACCCTCACAGCAATTGGAATGAATCACGCAGTTTGCCAAAGTGACTTTAGACAACTTGTGTGTCATTAGGTATTCAAAAGATGTATAAAGTTTTAACCACGAGTAAATAGCTGACCTAAAACGAAATAAAGGTAAATAAAACACATTCTCCTTAATGTAATTAGTAATGGTAATTGATATGCTTCATCTCCTCAATATTGCTGTCAGGGGACAAGGGATCCATTTACAAAGTTACATTCTGTTTTGACATCTGACATAAACAGGATCCTTTTCGCTTTGATTTTTGTTGGTACCACAAGTAGATAATTTTCTCTTTTCATTTTTAAAAAATATTACCTTTATTTTTTTCAGAACTGCCAAAATATATTTTCTTTGATTAAACCTGATGTTAAAAAAAGAAAAGTAACACAGGGTTTCATTATAATTTCTTTCCCTCCTTTGATAAAAGAATTTGTTTCAGGAAAAACTTGAGAGTTATATTTTTTCAGTTGCTTATGGTAGGGATTAATTAACAATCTGGGATTTCATTTGACATAAAACCTTCATTTTATTTATAGTTTTTCTGAATTGTGTTATTATAGTTCTTTATTTGTGATCAAAGAGAAATAATAGTGTTCTTACCTTCATAAGAATTATTCATTTTAAAGTGTTGCTGGCAGATCTTGTTAATGTTTACATTATGATAAGTTAAACAGCTTTGTAGAAATAAAAGTTTGTAAATAATACTCACCCTTTCCCCCTTCTGTTTTGGTTTGTTTTCATAGGCTCTAGAGACATTCAAATCAAGTTTCTATCATTACTCTTTGGCAGATTTTAGATGTGTATTCCAGAGTTGCTGGAATTATTTCTAAAATTCACACTTAGAGAAAGTGATGATGTAGCCCAACTTTTCATAGTTTAGACCTTTGCAGTTCAAATAAAAACTTTTGCTCTCATAATATGTTTAGTTGAGAAAAATCTGGATCATGAGAACATTATTGAGATTAAGTAGACACCTTTCTATTTCTTTCTTCCTTTGCCTGGTAAACCTAGTCTTGGTGGTTGTTATGACCTAGTAGTATAACTGTGCTTTTGACTTGTAACATAAAGGCAAATTATTCTATTTTTCTATTTATGTTTTTAAGTCTCCCGTGTTTTACTATGTGTTAAGTATTTTAAAATCTTCTTTAAAAAATGATATAGTCCCCCAAAAGATTAACAGAGAGTATAAAAGTACAGTTACCATTGGCTCGTTATTCTCAAGTCCTGTCAAGCTTATCCTGGACATGCTTTTATTTAGATAATGCCTTTGCAAGTAAAACTTTTATTGTATTTAATAAATGGAAAGTAAGGTAATTAATTTTTAGTAAGAATTTAGCTTGCATAAACATTCATTTTAAAATCCATTTGTAACTGATCCTGAAATACTCAAGAAAAAATTTATATTAACTTCAGTGACAGTTTCAGAATTAGTCTGAATAGTGTTCTCTTTAATTTATGAAATTACATTCAATATATTCATTGTATACTTAGTGAAAAAATATGGCAGTACTTATTTTTTTAAAACTACTTCAATTTTGGAAGCAAATGAATGACTTGCCATGGTCTATTAGCGTTCTAAGCATTAAGGAAACTAAGTATCAGTTTATTTGTATGTGTGTGTGTGTGTGTGTGTGTACATATATATAAACACCATATATGTTTTAGTGGAAATGCATCTGCACAGTGATGCCAGCCGCAGCTTCCAGTTCTCATTCAATGAGCATAATCTCTGTAGCATGGTTCTCCTTTTTATAACCTACCATGCTTTCACGAAGCACACTGAATCTGCAAATGGTGAGATTACTGTTATGTTTGTCCTGATATCATACGCAAGAGACTAATAACTGACTGAAGTTAGCCTGTGTCTTTAGTCGCCAGGTATCTACTAAAGCAACATTACCTGGATCTCTGGATAGTTATGAAATAAGAAAACGGTCATTCACTGATTTGATCTATAAATGTATATGGAAGTCCACATATGACTATTTGAACCTTATCCAAAACTAATCCTAAATCAATTGATGACTTAGATATAAGACCACAAAGGCAATTTAGAGAAATTGAGTTAATCATATTGAGAGATAATCATTCTAAATTATTCTTTCTTATTTTTTTTCTCTCCTTGAGTAATTACACATCTCATATGTGGAAAAGTATGAACATGATTTATATCACAAATTCTCTCTACACACACAGAAGCACACGTATACCAATTATGGTGCCATTAGTCTTTTATTTCATCATGATATTCATAGATTGATATGTGGAAAATACCTGAACTTAATAATGCCCAAAGTTGATGTAAATACACTATAATAAACTGCTTAATGACCATACCTAAAATCACTAGAATCATCACAATTTAAAATGAAAAGGTATCAACAAGAAGTCCCTTATTTTGTAAGAGATTGAGGCCCAACCTGAAAAAGCAATTTGATTAGGATCACAGAATTCTTAGAGATATAATGTGCACTAGAGTCCAAATCATGGAATGCAGAGTCTAGTATTTTTTTTAATTGTATCACACTACTTTTAGAGAAAAAACTAAATTTATGCAACTTTCTCAGTATATATTTCAATTGTAGCAGAAATATGTTGATATTTACTTATGTATTTATAACTATATATTTAGCTATGAAGATCGACATTTTAACAATAGAATTCTGCTTTAGGCTCCTATTCTTATGTGTAATATTATATGGGAAATTATAGTTCAAAATTTAGAGATTTTAAAAATATGTTAATAATTCTCTCCTCCATGTAAAATTGCAATTGATGACATACATTAAAGCAACTTAACATGATTGAGAACATGTATTCAACAAGTTAGTTGACAGGCTTTTTAATTTTAGCAGAGTAATGCTAACAGACATAAGTTCCTACCTTGTACTAGGATATTCTCAATAAAAATGTATTCTAAGAGAACAGA